GTTCACACCACTGTTTCTCCGTCCCCCGTTGTTCACACCACGGTTTTTTCCCCACTGTTCACCCACCTTTTGTTCCCTCTGTTCCCTCTGTTCACCCCTCTGCCATCCCCGCTTGCTCGCCATGCTCCCCGCACTCACTTGCTATGCTCCCTCCCCTCCCCCCACTCACTCATTGCCCGAAACATCCAGCCAGGTGAGAAGCTGCCACTCCTCACTCGTGGCATCCCCCCCCCCCCCCCCCCCCCCCCACTGTTTAACGAGGCGTCGTTACCTCCTGTACTGCCCTCTCCTCGCCTCGTCCGTCCCCCGTACTCACCTCCTCTCGTCCTCTCTTCTCACCTCCTGTCCACCCCTCTTCTCACCCTCCCCTGTCCCCCGTACGTACTCACCTCGTAAACGCGCTTGAGATGTGCACTCGTTATGCCCTCCCCCCCTGACCTCCTTAATCCCCCCTCGCCTCCTCTTCCCCCCCAATCACCGCCTCTCTCACCCTCCACCCTCCCACCCCAGAGGTGGCTGAGGTCTGCCGGACTTGGCCTCGACGTCGGACGAGGTTCGGCTCGGCTCTGGTCTGGATGAGGCTCGGCCAGTGCAGTGCGCAAGGTACGCTGCTTGCGTTGCGTTGCAGTGCGCAAGGTACGTTGCTTGCGTTGCGTTGCAGTGCGCAAGGTACGTTGCTTGCGTTGCGTTGCGTGGTGAGAGGGAGGGAGGCGAGGGAGATTGCCTCCACACTCACCACCTCTGCTCCCCACACTCACCATCCCCCCCCACTTATCACCACTCTTCACCTTCCCCCACCACCGCTCCCCTTTATTCACCTTTCCCCACTGCTCCCCAGCACTCATCTCTGCTCCCCTGCGCTCACCTCTGCTCCCCTGCGCTCACCTCTGCTCCCCTGCGCTCACCTCTGCTCCCCTGCGCTCACCTCTGCTCCCCTGCGCTCACCTCTGCTCCCCTGCGCTCACCTCTGCTCCCCTGCGCTCACCTCTGCTCCCCTGCACTCATCTCTGCTCCCCTGCGCTCACCTCTGCTCCCCTGCGGTCACCTCTGCTCCCCTGCGCTCACCTCTGCTCCCCTGCGCTCACCTCTGCTCCCCTGCGCTCACCTCTGCTCCCCTGCGCTCACCTCTGCTCCCCTGCGCTCACCTCTGCTCCCCTGCACTCACCTCTGCTCCCCTGCACTCACCTCTGCTCCCCTGCACTCACCTCTGCTCCCCTGCACTCACCTTTACTGTTCACCCACTTTTCACACCACCGTTTCCCCGTCCCCCACTGTTCATGCCATTGTTTCCCCGTCCCCCACTGTTCACGCCATTGTTTCCCCGTCCCGAAATGTTCACACCACTGTTTCTCCGTCCCCCGTTGTTCACACCACGGTTTTTTCCCCACTGTTCACCCACCTTTTGTTCCCTCTGTTCCCTCTGTTCACCCCTCTGCCATCCCCGCTTGCTCGCCATGCTCCCCGCACTCACTTGCTATGCTCCCTCCCCCCACTCACTCATTGCCCAAAACAGCCAGCCAGGTGAGAAGCTGCCACTCCTCACTCGTGGCATCTCTCCCCCCCCCCCCCCCTCCCTTGCCGTCCCTCCTCCACATGCTTTCACTCTCTGCACGTGCGTTCAAACCACACCCTGCTCATGCCACAAACCTATAGCCTTGCCATGCCTTCATTTATTACGCTTATGATGTTCTAGCACGCATGATAACTGCTTAACTAATTTCAGTGGTAGAATCTGTCTGTGTAGCTAGGATTGTAGGACTTGATATGTGTGCTTGTATGTATGGGCATGCCTACTATATAGCCATGCCCTGGCCTGGTCTGGTTTGGCCGGGCCTGGGGTGGGGAGCTCGGGCCCACGGGGTTTCAGCCTGGCCCCTGTTCCAGCAGCCTGCCGCCCGGTTACTGTTCCAGCCGCCCCCTTACTGTTGCTGCCGCCCAGACACTGTTGCTACCGCCCAGATGCTGTTGATGCTCCCCAGACACTGTTGATTCCGTCCATACACTGTTGCTGCCGCCCAGGTACTGTTGCTGCCGCCCAGGTACTGTTGCTGCCGCCCAGGTACTGTTGCTGCCATCCAGACACTGTTGCTGCCATCCAGACACTGTTGCTGCCGCCCAGACACTGTTGGTGCCGCCCAGACACTATTGGTGCCGCCCAGACACTGTTGTTGCCGCCCAGACACTGTTGTTGCCGCCCAGACACTGTTGCTGCCGCCCAGACACTGTTGCTGCCGCCCAGACACTGTTGCTGCCGCCCAGACACTGTTGCTGCCGCCCAGACACTGTTGCTGCCGCCCATACACTGTTGCTGCCGCCCAGACACTGTTGCTGCCGCCCAGACACTGTTGCTGCTGCGCCCGGTTACTGTTGCTGCCACCCGGTTACTGTTGCTGCCACCCGGTTACTGTTGCTGCCGCCCGGTTACTGTAGGGATAGGGGGGGACCATGCCCATGCCAGGGATTTTGGGGGGCGGGGTGGGGGGCTGTGAGGAGGATTGGGGGGTAGGGGGGCCTTAGGGGGGCCTTGGGGGGGCCTTGGGGGGGCCTTGGGGGGGCCTTGGGGGGGCCTTGGGGGGGCCTTGGGGGGGCCTTGGGGGGGCCTTGGGGGGGGTCATGGGGGGGTTTCATCTCCCCTCTCGCTATTGTCACTCTCTTTATTGTCCACGCTCTGCGTTATAGTACCCCTTGTTTGCTCTTCGGTGAAGGAGGTGGCTGAGGTCTGCCGGACTTGGCCTCGACGTCGGACGAGGTTCGGCTCGGCTCTGGTCTGGATGAGGCTCGGCCAGTGCAGTGCGCAAGGTACGTTGCTTGCGTTGCGTTGCAGTGCGCAAGGTACGTTGCTTGCGTTGCGTTGCGTGGTGAGAGGGAGGGAGGCGAGGGAGATTGCCTCCACACTCACCACCTCTGCTCCCCACACTCACCATCCCCCCCCACTTATCACCACTCTTCACCTTCCCCCACCACCGCTCCCCTTTATTCACCTTTCCCCACTGCTCCCCAGCACTCATCTCTGCTCCCCTGCGCTCACCTCTGCTCCCCTGCGCTCACCTCTGCTCCCCTGCGCTCACCTCTGCTCCCCTGCGCTCACCTCTGCTCCCCTGCGCTCACCTCTGCTCCCCTGCACTCACCTCTGCTCCCCTGCACTCACCTCTGCTCCCCTGCACTCACCTCTGCTCCCCTGCACTCACCTTTACTGTTCACCCACTTTTCACACCACCGTTTCCCCGTCCCCCACTGTTCATGCCATTGTTTCCCCGTCCCCCACTGTTCACGCCATTGTTTCCCCGTCCCGAAATGTTCACACCACTGTTTCTCCGTCCCCCGTTGTTCACACCACGGTTTTTTCCCCACTGTTCACCCACCTTTTGTTCCCTCTGTTCCCTCTGTTCACCCCTCTGCCATCCCCGCTTGCTCGCCATGCTCCCCGCACTCACTTGCTATGCTCCCTCCCCCCACTCACTCATTGCCCAAAACAGCCAGCCAGGTGAGAAGCTGCCACTCCTCACTCGTGGCATCTCTCCCCCCCCCCCCCTCCCTTGCCGTCCCTCCTCCACATGCTTTCACTCTCTGCACGTGCGTTCAAACCACACCCTTCTCATGCCACAAACCTATAGCCTTGCCATGCCTTCATTTATTACGCTTATGATGTTCTAGCACGCATGATAACTGCTTAACTAATTTCAGTGGTAGAATCTGTCTGTGTAGCTAGGATTGTAGGACTTGATATGTGTGCTTGTATGTATGGGCATGCCTACTATATAGCCATGCCCTGGCCTGGTCTGGTTTGGCCGGGCCTGGGGTGGGGAGCTCGGGCCCACGGGGTTTCAGCCTGGCCCCTGTTCCAGCAGCCTGCCGCCCGGTTACTGTTCCAGCCGCCCCCTTACTGTTGCTGCCGCCCAGACACTGTTGCTACCGCCCAGATGCTGTTGATGCTCCCCAGACACTGTTGATTCCGTCCATACACTGTTGCTGCCGCCCAGGTACTGTTGCTGCCGCCCAGGTACTGTTGCTGCCGCCCAGGTACTGTTGCTGCCATCCAGACACTGTTGCTGCCATCCAGACACTGTTGCTGCCGCCCAGACACTGTTGCTGCCGCCCAGACACTGTTGGTGCCGCCCAGACACTGTTGTTGCCGCCCAGACACTGTTGTTGCCGCCCAGACACTGTTGCTGCCGCCCAGACACTGTTGCTGCCGCCCAGACACTGTTGCTGCCGCTGTTGCTGCCGCCCAGACACTGTTGCTGCCGCCCAGACACTGTTGCTGCCGCGCCCGGTTACTGTTGCTGCCACCCGGTTACTGTTGCTGCCACCCGTTGCTGCCGCCGTTACTGTAGGGATAGGGGGGGACCATGCCCATGCCAAGGATGGGGGGGACCATGCCCATGCCAGGGATTTTGGGGGGCGGGGTGGGGGGCTGTGAGGAGGATTGGGGGGTAGGGGGGCCTTAGGGGGGCCTTGGGGGGGCCTTGGGGGGGCCTTGGGGGGGCCTTGGGGGGGCCTTGGGGGGGCCTTGGGGGGGCCTTGGGGGGGTCATGGGGGGGTTTCATCTCCCCTCTCGCTATTGTCACTCTCTTTATTGTCCACGCTCTGCGTTATAGTACCCCTTGTTTGCTCTTCGGTGAAGGGGGTGGTGGGTGTGGTGCTCACAGAGAAGGGTGCAGAAAGAGGCGGTAGGGGGAAAAACATTGATCGGTTTGCCATGAGGGCCAACGAGCTAGTCTTGCACACCCCCATCTGGTTGCACTTCCCCCGTCTAATTCCTTCCTCTTCGCCTTCCTCCTTTTTCCCCTTCCCTCGTCCAGGTGTGGGAGCGTGAGGTGGAGCACGTGTCCGGAGGAGAGCTGCAGCGCTTTGCCATTGGAGTGGTGGGGGGGCAGCTGGGAGACAGACATCTACATGTTCGATGAGCCCTCTCCTCTTCCCCACCTAATCACCTATCCTCATCCCGATTCACCACTCCTTTCAGGTGTGGGAGCGTGAGGTGGAGCATCTGTCAGGAGGCGAGCTGCAACGGTTTGCCATTGGAGTGGTGGCGGGGCAGCTGGGAGACATCTACATGTTCGATGAGCCTTCCAGCTACCTGGACGTGCGGCAGCGATTGAAGGCAGCGCAGGTCATCCGCTCGCTGCTGCGCCCCGACAGGTATGGTCAGTGGTCCGAACAGGTGCGATCAATGGTTGGTGGATAGAGCAAGGGAAAGAGGGATTCAAATAGCTGGTCATAGCTGGTCATTTGTTTCATATTCCTATTCAATGCTCAAGTATTTAAACACTGTTGGATTTGATTCAAATAGCTGGTCATTCGGTTACATATTGACTCCCTTAGTAAGTTCTTGAACCCCTCGAAGGGAGTCAATATGTAACCGAATAACAAGCTAGTTGAACCAAATCCATTAGTGCTAAAATACTTGAACATCGAATAGGAATATGAAACCAGTGGTACGATATTGTTACACCACTGCCCTTTCCCTTGCTCCCTTTCATTCCCCCATTCCTCCATGCATCCCCCACCGTTCCAGATACGTGATTGTGGTGGAGCGTGACCTGAGTGTGCTCGACTATCTCTCCCACTTCATGTGCTGCCTCTACGGCAAGCCAGGGGCATACAGGGCGGTTTTTCTGCGCTATCACCCCATGCACCCACTGCCCTGCCCACTCACTCCCCATTCCATCATCCCCATCCCCCCCCAGATACGTCATTGTGGTGGAGCACGATCTCAGTGTGCTCGACTATCTCTCGGACTTCATCTGCTGCCTCTACGGCAAGCCCGGTGCCTACGGGGTGGTCACGCTGCCCTTCTCCGTGCGAGAGGGCATCAACATCTTCCTGGCTGGCTTCGTGCCAACCGAGAACCTGCGCTTCCGAGACGAGTCGCTCACATTCAGGGTGAGTCTGCCGTGAGGGTGTCACCGTGTCCGTCGGGACATCAAAATTTTCATATTGCAGGCACACCTTTAGAATTCAATCAGCAGTGCGAGGGGGCATCAACATCTTCCTTGCCGGCTTTGTTCTGACCGAGAACCTGCGCTTCCGAGACGAGCCGCTCACCTTCAGGGTGAGTCTGCTTTAGGTGTTGACTTGAAAGAGGGGAATTTTGTGTTTCTCTGTGCTCGAGGGAATGAACATCTTTCTTGCCGGCTTCATACCAGCTGGAAACCTGCGTTTTCAAGACGAGTCGCTCACCTTCCGTGTGGGTCTGCTTGTCTGTCGCTCCTCTTTGTGAATGGATGTTTCTTCCTTGCCTCAGTTTCCAACTTCGTTAGATAGGGCATGAGCATATTTTTTTTTCATCTTTTGAGCCGACTTAAGACACAAAAGTCGACTCAGAAGTCAGACCCACATTTTTGAGACGAAAAGCTCATTCATTTTCAAAGTTGGAAGAAACGGACGAGGCCAAGACATATACTTGGTACAAGTACCCACGCATGATCAAGAAGCAGGGCGTGTTGAAGCTCTCTGTGTGCTGTCTCAGGTTCCTCAAAGCACTCCTTTCCTCCCCTCCACTCCCTCTCCTCCGCCCGTGCCTCTTCTCCTTTCCCCCTCCCATCAGGGGACGAAAACCCTGGTGGATAATCCTGAGGAGGGAGGCCAAGACGTACAGTCGGTTCGGTACAGGTATTTGGGCATGATCAAGAAGCACGGCGGGTTCAACCTCCTCCTTCCCCTCCCTCACTCCATTCTTTCACCCCCCTTCATTCCATCTCAGGTGGCTGAAACCCCGGTGGATAATCCTGAAGAGGCCAAGACGTACACGCGGTACAAGTACCCGCGCATGATCAAGAAGCAGGGCGGGTTCAAGCTTTGCAGCTAAATTACCCTTATTTCTGACCCATCTCAACCCATCATTGCTCCCATCAGGTGGCTGAAACCCCGGTGGATAATCCTGAAGAAGCCAAGACGTACACGCGCTACAAGTACCCGCGCATGGTCAAGAAGCAGGGCGGGTTCAAGCCCCTCCTTCCCCTCCCCCCCTCTCCATTCCATCTCAGGTTGCTGAAACCCCAGTCGATAACCCTGAAGAGGCCAAGACGTACACGCGCTACAAGTACCCGCGCATGGTCAAGAAGCAGGGCGGATTCAAGCTGACGGTGGAACCTGGTGACTTCACGGACTCACAGATCGTGGTGATGCTGGGGGAGAACGGCACCGGCAAGACCACCTTTATCCGCATGCTGGTAGGGAAGCTGTCTCTCATGGGTGCGCATGCTGGTAGGCACATGTGTGCACCATAGGTAGGGATGGCAGTGGACGCAAGGCACAGACTCGCAGATCGTGGTGATGCTGGGGGAGAATGGCACCGGCGAAACCACCTTTATCCGCATGCTGGTAGGCCAACTCTCTCACCTGTGCATGGCTGGTGGTAGGCCGGTAGCCCAACTTGCATGTGCCCGCACCATGCCACATGCTTCCGAAGAGCTAATAGGCCGACTCTTGTGTCATATGCATACCGGTTGGGCTAGTCGTTGGCTCCTAAATTCCCGTTTCCTTCCCGTTTCCGCGTCTCCCAATATCGCCAGCTTGCACGTCTCTTTGGCTCTCTCTTCTCCCTGTCCCTTCCATGATCCATCTTCCATCCCTCCTCTCTCCCTTCCAGGCGGCTCTCTCAAGGCCGGACCCAGATGAGGAAACCGGCAAGGAGGCCCAAGGTTTTCCCGAGTTCAACGCGTCGTACAGGCCGCAGAAGACCAGCCCAGCCCCAAGTTTCCCTTCCCATTCTCATTCTCCGTCCCTTTTTCTTCCCTTTCCACTTCGATCCCCCGTGCCTTGTCTCCCTTCTCCCTTGTATCACGCAGGCTGGTCTGTTAAAGGCCGACCCGGACGAATCAACTGGCAAGGAAGCCGAAGATCTCCCGGATTTCAGTGTGTTGTACAGGCCGCAGAAGACCAGCCCAGCCCCAAGTTTTCTGCGTTACTCTCCTCCCTCCTCCCCTCTCCTCTCCTGTCTCGTTCTGAACCCCTCCAGGCCGGCCTCTTGAAGGCAGATCCAGACGAGGAGACCGGGAAAGAAGCTGAGGACCTCCCGGAGTTCAACGTGTCGTTCAAGCCGCAGAAGATCAGCCGCAAGTTCCCCCTCTCATACCCTCTCGTTCCTCTCCTTTCCGCTCTCCTGTGTCCTTCTCAACCCCTTACAGGCTGGTCTCTTAAAGGCTGACCCGGACGAGGAGACCGGCAAGGAGGCCGAGGACCTCCCGGAGTTCAACGTGTCGTACAAGCCGCAGAAGATCTCCCCCAAGTTCCCCCACAGCGTGCGCGCGCTGCTGCACTCCAAGATCCGAGACTCGTTCCACCACCCGCAGTTCAACACCGACGTGCTGCGCCCCATGCAGATCGACCCGCTCCTGGACCAGGAGGTGGTGAATTTGTCGGGTGGGGAGCTGCAGCGCGTGGCTATTACCCTTTGTCTGGGAAAGGTAAGGAAGGAGTGGGTGGGTTGGTCAACTCTCTCTTGGAGACTGCGGCGGTTCAAGGTGGTTTTGGGCGGTTCTGGGGCGGCTCAGAAGTTGCCCCATGCAGATCGACCCCCTGCTCGACCAGGAGGTGGTGAAAATCTCAGGAGGGGAGCTGCAGCGCGTGGCCATCACGCTGTGCCTTGGCAAGGTAAGGAAGGGGTGCATCAAGTCCCTCTTGGGATTTTAAGGTGGTCTGAGGCGGTTTTGGGGTGGTTTTGGGGCGGTTTTGGGATGGTTTTGGGGCGGCTCAGAAGTTGTCTCATGCAGATCGACCCCCTGCTCGACCAGGAGGTGGTGAATTTGTCAGGAGGAGAGCTGCAGCGCGTGGCTATTTCCCTCTGCCTTGGGAAGGTGCGTCGCTATTTCCCTCTGTTTTGGGAAGGTGCGTGGCTATTTCGCTCTGCCTTGGGAAGGTGCGTGGCTATTTCCCTCTGCCTTGGGAAGGTGCGTGGCTATTTCCCTCTGCCTTGGGAAGGTGCGTGGCTATTTCCCTCCGCTTTGGGAAGGTGCGTGGCTATCTCCCTCTGCCTTGGAAGGTGCGTGGCTATTTCCCTCTGCCTTGGGAAGGTGCGTGGCTATTTCCCTCTGCCTTGGGAAGGTGCGTGGCTATATTACTCTGTTTTGGGAAAGTGCGTGGCTATTTCCCTCTGCCTTGGGAAGGTGCGTGGCTATTTCCCTCTGCCTTGGGAAGGTGCGTGGCTATTTCCCTCTGCCTTGGGAAGGTGCGTGGCTATTTCCCTCTGCCTTGGAAGGTGAGTGGCTATTTCCCTCTGCCTTGGGAAGGTGCATGGCTATTTCCCTCTGCCTTGGGAAGGTGCGTCGCTATTTCCCTCTGCCTTGGGAAGGTGCATGGCTATTTCCCTCTGCCTTGGGAAGGTGCGTGGCTATTTCCCTCTGCCTTGGAAAGGTGCGTGGCTATTTCCCTCTGCCTTGGGAAGGTGCGTGGCTATTTCCCTCTGCCTTGGGAAGGTGCGTTGCTATTTCCCTCTGCCTTTGGAAGGTGCGTGTCTATTTCCCTCTGCCTTGGGAAGGTGCGTGGCTATTTCCCTCTGCTTTGGGAAGGTGCGTCGCTATTTCCCTCTGCCTTGGTGGCATCTACCTCATTTACGATCCATCGGCCTATCTCGACTCAAGAGCAGTGCATTGTGGCAGCCACGGTCATCAAGCGGTTCATCCTTCCCTTTTTTCCCTTTCTCCCCCTCTTCCACTTTCTCCTTTCTCCAGCCTGCCGACATCTATCTGATCGATGAACCCTCGGCCTATCTCGACTCAAGAGCAGCGCATCGTGACGGTCAAGGTCATCAAGCCGTTCATCCTGCACATGCGTTCCTTCTTCTCTCTCCTCCCAGCCTGCCGACATCTACCTCATAGACGAGCCCTCGGCCTATCTGGATTCGGAGCAGCGCATCGTGGCAGCCAAGGTGATCAAGCCGTTCATCCCTCCCCTCCCTCTAACTTTCCACTTCCACTTCCAACCCCCCACACCCCCTTTCCTCCCAGCCTGCCGACATCTACCTGATTGATGAACCCTCAGCCTACTTGGATTCAGAGCAGCGCATTGTGGCGGCCAAGGTGATCAAGCGCTTCATCCTGCACGCCAAGAAGACGGCGTTTGTGGTGGAGCACGACTTCATCATGGCCACGTACCTGGCGGACCGCGTCATCGTGTACGAGGGGCAGCCGTCGGTGGACTGCACGGCGCGCACGCCCCAGTCGCTCAACAGCGGCATGAACCTCTTCCTCTCGGTGAGAGACCCCTTGTTGCTTGCTGTGTGAGTGAGAACCCCCCTTTGTGGTGGAGCACGACTTCATCATGGCCACGTACCTGGCGGACCGCGTGATTGTCTACGAGGGGCAGCCGTCCGTGGATTGCACGGCTTGCACTCCTCAAGTCGCTCAACAGCGGCATGAACCTCTTCCGGCATGCCCAAGGGAGCTGTGCGCTTGTAGGGTGCACTCATGGAACCCCTTTCTCCCTCCCGTTTTCACCTCTTCTCGCTACCGTGCCCCTCACAACCATCGTTTCCTCCCACCCCCAACCACCACCACCCTCCCCCCCCCAGCAACTGGACATCACGTTCCGGCGCGACCCCACCAACTTTCGGCCGCGCATCAACAAGATGGATTCTGTCAAGGACCGCGAGCAGAAGAGTGCCGGCACCTACTACTACCTGGACGACTGAGTGTGGACATGGCATTGGCCGTTTTGGCATGCCCATGAAAGGGTGCACTCATGGGATGGGAGCACAAGTCTGCTGGCAGTGGCACCTACACTACCGTACCTCGATGAGTGATCGGCATTGGTCATTGCCAACTTGCCATCCATCCCTAGACCCTACCCCACCCATGGCATCCGTATGCGATCGACAACTGTGCTGGAGGGTACAGTCATGGGAGTTAACTTTTTGAAAGCAACGCTCACATGCTAAGCGTATTTAGGACGTTTGTGTTAGGCATTGTGCTTTACGTGAGCGTTGGTTCGCAGGACTCGAGCTGTCGTGTCTCTGACGAGTGTTTGCATAATGGTAGGACTGGCCGTACCAGCTGACTTTTGACCTGACCTTGAGAGTCGTCTGCACCAATTCATTGCTGCAGGATAACAAATGAAGCTGTTGGAGCATGATTTTCAGGCTGTAGTAGCATCTGTTGCTGTTGGAGCTTGGAGGAAAAAGTGGCATGTCGGACTGCGAGTGACACAAAAGATGGGCACATTGTTCTTACTCTGGTTAAAAAACAGATGCCAATCAGCTCTACCTTGGTACTACCAGGTATATGAAAATGATTTAGCTACACAGTACAGTGAACTTCACCCTCCAAGCTCGGCTTTAAGCTCCCCATTAGCCTTCATTTCAAGCACAATATCGCATCCACCAATCAGCTCGCCCTTGTGGTACACCTGGGGGTACGTGGGCCAATTGGAGAGCTCCTTCAGCCCCTGCCTCACTGCTTCATCCGTGAGAATGTCAAAACTGCCAAAGGAAATGCCTTCTGACATGAGTGCATCAACCACCTTGCGGCTGAACCCACACCGCGGCTCCTCGGGTGTGCCCTGGGAAAGCAAGGCAAGGCCGTGAGGACAAGCCATGGGGAAGAGGGGGGGAAGAGGGGGGGAAGAAGGGGGGAAGAGGGGGTGAAACATGCGATGAGTCCATGTCTGACTTGACTGCATCCACCACCTTGCGGCCGAACCCACACCGGGGCTCCTGCGGTGTTCCCTGAATAACAAGGGATGGGGATGGTCATGGGTACATAGCACAGGAAGGCAGGGGAAGGGGGGTTGGGGGGGTGTAAAGGCATGTGTTCAGCCCCTGCCGCACTGCCTCGTCCGTGAGAATGTCAAAACTGCCAAAGGAAATACCTTCTGACGTGAGTGCATCCACCACCTTGCGGCTGAACCCACACTGCGGCTACTCCGGTGTGCCCTGGGAAAGCAAGGCAAGGCCGTGAGGACAAGCCATGGGGAAGAAGGAAGGAAATATGCGATGAGTCCATGTCTGACTGGACTGCATCCACCACCTTGCGGCTGAACCCACACCGCGGCTCCTCCGGTGTTCCCTGAGAGGTAACGCAGCAGAGAGGATGGGATGAGAGGAAGGGATGAGAGGAAGGGATGAGAGGAAGGGATGAGAGGAAGGGATGAGAGGAAGGCGACGACGAGACGAGTGCCTTCAATCATCTTAATTAGCTAAGGCAGGACGATACAGATTATCACATACGCCCCAACCCACTCTACTCCAACATACCTTCATGAACAGCATGGTAGGCGAAGACGAGAGGAGTGCCTTCAGCCGCTCTTGCAACCCCTTCGCCCCATCAACCTGCCCATCCGCCGCTGCTGCTGCTGCTGCTGCCGTCACTGCTCCTGGTGCATCTCCCTTCCCCGCCCCTCCCAGCACCCCTTTCTCTGCAAACACCTCTTTCAACTCCCCACTCTCGTGCATCTGCAGCACAATATCACACCCCCCAACCAGCTCCCCCTTGCAATACAACTGCGGGAAAGTCGGCCAGTCGCTATACACCTTTAAACCCTGCTAGCTTGCTCCTGCTACTGCCGTCACTGCTTGCTTGCTACTGCTGCTGCCGACACTGCTTGCTTGCTACTGCTGCTGCCGTCACTGCTTGCTTACTCCTGCTGCTGCCGTCACTGCTTGCTTACTCCTGCTGCTGCCGTCACTGCTTGCTTGCTCCTGCTGCTGCCGTCACTGCTTGCTTACTCCTGCTGCTGCTGTCACTGCTTGCTTACTCCTGCTGCTGCCGTCACTGCTTGCTTGCTCCTGCTGCTGCCGTCACTGCTTGCTTACTCCTGCTGCTGCCGTCACTGCTTGCTTACTCCTGCTGCTGCCGTCACTGCTTGCTTACTCCTGCTGCTGCAGTCACTGCTTGCTTGCTCCTGCTGCTGCTGTCACTACTCGCTTGCTCCTGCTGCTGCTGTCAATGCTTGCTTGCTCCTGCTGCTGCCGTCACTGCTTGCTACTGCTGCTGCCGTCACTGCTTGCTGCTGCTCTGCTGTTGCTGCTTGCTACTGCTGCCCTGCTGTTGCTGCCGATGTCATTGTTTGTGCTGCTGCTGAAGTTCAGAATGCTTTGTCTCCAGAATTTTTGCACAATGTACGGTAAAGTGATACAAGAGGATGCTATGCGAAGAAATGAAACACGTTGAACCTATCTTGATCGTTGGGATGACACAAATGGTTAAGAATCACTAGACAAGCACAACCACCAGTGTTGTACAGTCCTCACAACCGTTTCCATGATGCTCAAGGCATCCTTGTTTGCAGTAGTCGAGAGGCGGGAGACGGACATCAACGTCACACCGTAGGCAGACTACACCGTTCATCACCACTCGTCACCGCTCGTCACCACTCACGGGCACTCAACACCACCAATGACCACACACAACGGCCCAGCACCACGCACTGCCGCTCCGAACCACTCTGCCAACAAAAACTGAGCGAGTGGACA